AAATAATTGCACATATTTAAGGAGTTCAGTGTAATAGTTCCATATCTGTATGCAATCTGTAATGATCAAATTCAGGGATATTGTTTTTTATCCCTTACCTCAAACATTTGTCATTTCTTTATGTTGGTAATATTTAAAATCCTTTATTTCAGCTATTTTAAGATATACAATAATTTTTAAAAATTGTAGTCATGCTACTATGCTGTAGAAAACCTAGAATTTATTCATTCTGTCAGTTGGTACCTTTAACATGTATATAGCTCAGTGGAACAGAATAGAAAACCTAAAAACAATTCCACATATTTATAGCCAACTGATAATTAACAGAGGTGCCAAAAATTATTAAAAGACAGTGTCTTTAGTAAGCCATGTTGAAAAACCTGGAAACCCAGATGCATAATAATAAAAAAGCTTGACCCTTATCCCTCCTATCTACAAACATTAATTCAAAATAGACTAAAGACAAAAATCCAAGAGGCCAAATCAAAAACATTTTAAAAGAAAACATAGAAGAAATGCTTCAGAACATTGGTCTTGGCGAATATATTTTAGGACCTCAAAATCCAGGAAACTAAAGCAAAACTAGACAAATAGGCTATAACATTAACTATAACTATAACTAACTATAACATTCTACAAAACAAAGGGAAAATTCAACAGGTGAAGAGATAACCTGCAGATGTGAGGAAAGTATTTGCAAACTGTTCCTCCAACAGGGGAGTAATTCACAGTGTATAACAGGAACTCAACCCAATAGCAATAAAACAATCTGACTTTAAAATGTGGAAAGAACATTAATAAGTATTTCTCAAAAATAACTACAAAATGTAAAGTATATGGGAAAAAATTTATTTTACTCATTATAGAAAAACACAAATTAAGTCCAATGAGATAGCACTTCAACCCAGTTAGAATGGCTATGAGAGAGACCAGCAGTTAGTGTAATGACTATGTCACTGAACTACCATGTAGTCAACTGCAATTTGAGTCCCGAACCCGGTGGCTTAAACTCACACCAGGTGCATGTGTGTGCATGCCCAAAATCCCAAAAGGAGAATGGAGGAGAAGGGATTGCAGCATGGCCATCCTCCTAAGGGGTGATTTCTCACTTCCTGCTCTCCCTCTAACTCTTTCTGTCTCTCTGGTGAGTGCATGCACCCTATAGCACAAACCTCTTGGAAAAAAAAAAAAAAAAAAAAAAAAACAATCAGGATGGTCATCCTCCCTGAAGGGTGACTTCTCACTTTTCCCATCTCTTTTCCTTTCTCCTGGGTGAATGCACATATCCTAAAGCAAAAACTGAAAAAAAAATGGCTATCAGAAATAATATACAAATTACTAGTGCTAGTGATGATAGAGGACATGAGGGCACTGTTGGTGGAAATGTAAATCTGTATATCCAAGATAGAAAACAAAATGTAGGTTCTTTGAAAAAGTAAAAATGGTTGTCAATTTACACCAATTACAGTGTCCCTTGCGGTGCACAAACTCCTTCATATGATATAATCCCACCTGTCTATTTTTGGTATTATTGCCTGTGCTTTGGGGGGGTCTTAAGAAGTCTTTGCCTACCCCAATGTTTCCCAGAGTTTCCCCAGTGTTTTCCACCACTAGTTTTACAGTTTGCGGCCTTAGGTTTGGATCTTTGATCTACTTTGAGATAGAATACTATTCAGCCATTAAAAAACAACAAGGCCCTGGAATTTGATAAAAAGTGGACAAATATGAAAGATTTGTTGCTGAGTGAAGCAAATCAGGCTATGAAAGAGAGACATTGCATATCTCCACTTAACATATACCGACTGTCTGCACTCTGTGGTAGAGACTGAAACAGTGGAGAACATAAAAAGTATTAAAAGTTGTAATGGACACTAGAGACAAAGTGGAAAAAGAATGTGAGAGGAGAAGAGCGTAGGAAATTTGAGGGGAAAATGGAGAGGTAAGACACTTGTGGGACACAGATAAGGTTATTTTCTGTTGATTAGGATGTGTATAGTATTATCAACTGGTTTGGTCTGAGAAGTATTTCATGATGGGTAAAGTCTTTTTACAAGAAAAATGAGAATATATAGTGATTTAATATATGAATAATAATAAAATATACATATGTGTGTGTGTGTGTATATATATATATATAAAGTAAAAATGGAAATGTTATGTGATCCAGGAACTTCACTGGTAGAAAAGGAGAACAATATGTTGATGAGGTATCTGAACTTCATGTTTATTTCAGCCCTATTATCATAGCCAAAGTATAAAATTACAAATGGAAATAAAAAAATAAATACATGAATATAAACTGCAGTGTATTAGATCACTAAAACCTATACCTGCACATAGTATCTTATTTATTTACTTATGGATATAGACAAGAGGAATATAATAGATCCGTGCACAGGTTTTGAATACAAATGAGGAATCCAGTACAGGTCTTTCAACCATTATTATGTCAGGTATGGTTATATCACATTTGTATATCCATTCCTGTGAGTCATGTTGGATAGAGTAATGAAGCACCTTCTTTACATTGATGAGGAAGCCACCAATGATTAACTTCACCCCTTCCCATTCTTGTTAGAGTATTAAATAGAATTAACCTAGTAGGTCTTGTTAATTTTAATAGGAAAAAGAAACAGAAATATCCTTAGGCATTGTCTTCAGACATAACTACTCTTGGCCTCTCTTGGGCACAAAATTACAGAATTCATTGTCTCTGAATGAAGTGGTCCCCAAAGTGTTGTTGGGCCATGATGTAATCACAGAGACCAGAAGAAACAAAAAATAAAATAAATGTTTTTTTCCAAATTGTTTTATTTTTTTCATTAGAATAAATGGTTACAGGTGCAGAGCCTCAAGGCAGAGAGGTCTCCAGAGCTTTTGGATGGAACTGAAGTGGCACAATGAAACGAGAGGTATGACAGAACTACTTAAATCACGCTGACACTGAGGGTGAGTCTCAGCACTCTGGCTC